GGATGATCAGGGCAGTTTAATGCATACATTTCCATAGGTGCACTTGCAGATGTTACAATTTTTTCAAATTAAAGTGTTCATTAAGACTTAATTAAGGTAACAGACAGGGTTTATGATCATCAAAATAACAAAAATGAGTTCTCTCGTGGATCTTATTATTTTATAATGCATCTACCATTTTGCAGATTAAAAAAGTCTATATTCCAAATAAACATTGATACTATTCACTTGGACCTTGACTTACTATTTCCATAAGCAAAGTGTTCCAGTTCCACCAGTGGTCATGAAGATATCTCGGTTCTGAGGGAGATGCCTCACATTCCACACAGTGGATTTGTGTGCCTGGACAAGCAAAGAGACAGAAAAAATACATGAAAACAATACTGCTCATCTTTAAGAAATACATCCTTGGCTTGAGAGTTTATTTTTACCTTCTGTAGGATATCTGAAAACTTAAATATTTCTTAAAATTTGTGCCATCTAACGTATGATATTTCCCTGAATGTCTCAGATACACACCTTTTCTGTGAGAGATGCAAACCCTTTTGTTGGATGTTGAGTCCTCATATCAAATACATGGAACTTGGACTCCAGAGTGGTGGCAACTAACTTGTTCATACTAATGTCCTTTCTGTCAAACTCAACACAGCACACCTAAAAAATCAATGCATGAAATTCATTGGAAAAAAGTTACTATATGCCTGTAACACAAAACAAAAAAGTTCAAAATATACTACTACTGCCACTACTTCTCCAGTAACTACATTTACTACTACCACTACTACAATTTAATACAATCTGGTATAACAACTGAATGATCCAAATCGATTGACATTCAGATTTAAAAACAAAATGAAACATACCCCATTTTTTATATTTGTTTCCCATCGCAGTGACATATTTCTCAGATCAAAGAGTTTGATGTCACCATTGTCATAGCCTGCACAGACACAACGGTCATGTTGGTTGTAAGCATGACCTATAAAGGAGAGAAAAGAAAAAAATATAGATGGCTCTTGTTATGAAGATAGTCTTTCACAGGTGCACACACTGTTTTAAATTTGCCCTAAAAACACAGCTTATGATTATACAACCCATGTAAACTAAACACTGTGCATTCAGGTTTGTTTATTCATAATGCCCAGCAGCTAATGGTCCTATTTGAACACATAGAAGGTGGGGAAATTCACAAAACCGTCTGTGCAATACACTTTATTCTGTACCTTTGCAAAATATACCAAATGAAACTTATAACAAAATAATATATATTTCAACTATACCCTTGTTTGTATTGTTTGTTTTGTGTGTGCATATGTGCATGTTTGTGACAGTCATTTTAATCAGTATCCTTTTTTGCATCCCTGTTATATACACAAATTTTAAAAATCACACAGGTATATATTTGTTAAAGACATTCCAATAAATTAATTTTCAACCAAATAAATGATATATTAGTAAAATATGAAGTACTGGCAATTTTGATGTGGTTCTCAGGGGCAGATTCAGGCCGTCTTCTGGGTCTTCCGGAAGACGGTCAGATTTTCAAGTTTACATTGTCGGGTATCTAATTTTTTTTCTGTTGGAAGATGGTCAAAATTGAAGGATGAATCAACAAAGATAATTTGGAAGACTGTCAGTAGATACCTCTGAATCCGCCCCTGGTTCTGGTTCAACTTACCAAAAGCCACTGTCCAGCAGTCTCTCTTATCTTCACCTTCTCCAGGTTCCATTGCTGCCACAGGATCATTCTTCTGCCTGGGGTCCCACACTTTCACGCTTCCTGGAACATAATGCAGACATAGACTGCGTAATATGATCCACATGTAGATATCTGATCTGAGTGGTTTTACACTGAAAAATCATGGTAGTTGCAGATCTTTCTTCTGCTCAGAGTCCCACACTTTCATCACCACAATATGGAACATAATAAACAACGACTGAGAGAAGGTGTTATTAGCCTCTTTCAGTGTGTGCTTTAGCAGCAATATGAATACAAATTGTACTACATTATATAGATAAACAAGAGAATAATTAGGTAAGGTTCCCCAGGGAACTGTCCAGTCATTATCTGGATGACCAATTTCTTCAGCAAATGGCCAATACTTTGTTAGTTACAGTGACCTCTTGGTGGTTTACTAAATCTTGGGGCTATGATTCACTCAAATAAGTTTGCAGAAAATAAGTTTGAGGAAAATAAAAAGATATTAAAACAATGAACTCACCATCTCTACTTCCAGTGACTATTTCAGGAGCACCCTCCCCAATGCCTAAACCTCCAACACCATCTATATCATTTATGATCTCTTTATGGCCTTTCACAGAATATATTGGAATCTGCATTGACTCCAAATCCCTTGAAAAATAATAACTAAATAATTTATACAGTGCTAATGCCTTCCATTTTGAGTTATAAAATAATGTTAATTTTCAGTTGCTTGTGAAATACCTTATCCTTAAACATTAAACAAAAATGTGGACTAAAAGTAATTATACATGCCAAGTAAACAGTTTTTATCAGCTTGTGTAGATAGTTCTGTTGATAAAATGTAAACTTTTTTCACATTCATTTGAAAAATCCATTTGTGTCCCTAAGTAATCAATAGGTTCTGATGCAATTCAATACTGGTAGCTCAAAATATTAACTTCAATATAAAATTGAAAAGAGGACAAAATATTTTCAATTTTTGTATGAAAATGATAATCTGCGAATAAATAAACAAAAAGATATATATATATATATATATATATATATATATATATATATATATATATATATATATATATATAAGCTGGTAGGCAAATATTTACCATATTTGCAACTTGCCATCAAATGCACCTGTGGCAAAATTCCTTTGCTGCAAACTCGAGGCTCCAAATGTCCCACATTTAAATGAACTTGATTTCTCTGACTGAAAAGAAAAGTAAATAAAAAAGTGGTATCATTGAAGGGTTCATGTACTGTCAGTAATGTAAGGCTTCGGATAAAAGCTACAATGGGTCTGTTCTCAAGTGGGTCCTATATTGCATGCGGTAGGGATTTTAAACATTTTGTGACTTTTCAGTTGATGGTTATGATTAACAGTGGGACTGTCCTAGAGCAATTGACTGTAAATTAATTCTAGAATCACCCCAGCAAATAAATGTACTCTTGAGTAGTGATTGACCACCCTGAGCTTCAGAGCT